GACATCTGTTGACATCTGTTGACACAACAATTTGTACGACCATTTCTTCAGAGGAAGCTCCCCAGCCGAGTTTCCCGAGGCTGTGCACCACAGAAGCACAAGATGAGTTCTCGGATGGGGAGCGGCGCGAGGCTTTACAGGACTTGGATCAGGAGGTGGAAAAAGTCGAGTCTCTCAAAGCTGAGAAAGCACAGAAGACCCTCGGCACAATCTGTTGGTGAAAAATTGATCGATTGCAATGGCTGGGCGCTAGAACGTTATTATTAGGGCGATGGAGAAAAAATTATGTGCTACCGGGTGTGCATGTGCACACACACACACATAGATATATATATATATATGGTCGCTGAAAGGCTGGAACAATATGCATGTTCAAGAATCTGTGAGCGTCCAATTGGTTGCTCTCCCAGGACTGACTCAGCGCCAGACCTTTCTGACACCGAGAGGAAAGCGGCCGAGAAAAAGGCTGCGGAGGCAAAGGTTGCAGCTGAAAAAACAGCAAAGGAGCAAGCTGCCGCAGAGAAAAAGGCCGCAGCTGAGAAGGCCGCTGCTGAAAAGCAGGCAGCTGCCCAAAAAGCTGCTGCAGAGAAACTTGGTGCATTTTGAGGTGTGAACTGAGATATTTGCATGCGCGTGCAATTGGGAATGGAGTGTGGGGCATGCAGACGTTTTTCTCTCGGGCACGTCTGAGGAAAAAGGAGGCTGCCGAAAAGGCAGCGGCTGAAAAGAAAGCTGCGGCCGAAAAAGCTGCCGCAGACAAAGCTGCCGCAGAAGCCGAAAAAGCAGCTGCAGCAGAAAAGGCTGCGGCCGAGAAAGCCGCTGCAGCGGAAAAGGCGGCAGCCGAGAAAGCTGCTTCGGAAAAGGCAGCGACCGAGAAAGCGGAAAAGGCGGCGAGAGAGAAGGCAGCCAAAAAGGCCGCCGAAAAAGCTTTGGCAGAAAAGGAGGCTGCAGAAAAAGCCTTGGCAGAAATGAAGGTGCAGAAGCAGTTAGTCAGAAAATGAAGGTTATTGGTGTCGTGTATTCATCTACAATGTACACCTTTTTTTGAGGGTTCACCTGCATACAGCCTCAAAATTGGTACCCAATGTAATACTCACAGGTGGCGGCAAGCTTTGGTCATTTTTTGTTTCAGACCATCTTCAGGATCAACAGTTTTGAGCTTTGCCATATCCCATGTTTTGCGGGTGATATTGGTGACCTCTCACAGGCAGCCAAGGAGGAAGCCGAACGAGAAGCAGCTGAAATGAAGGCACAGCCGAACGTGGCACCAATGGTCAAGAAATAGGATCAAAATTGCCGCTTGCAGTTCCCAATCCCTTTATTTCTCATTCAATGTCAGTCTTCATCACGGAAGTTAGCCATAGCACGCTGGAGTTCCTTCTTGCTGTAGCAAGGGATGAGGAGGACCATGCCAAATGCGTGATTTTCCACCTCACAGTCGTTCCTCCATGTTTCCCTCCGCATATCACCGCGCATTCCTAGCCCCAAGGACTTTCCACATCCTCGCTCCTCCAATCTTCCCTGACTTTCGTTCGGTCATTGCTGGGTCAGGCCAAGGCTGCACAGTGGCAGCGAGAGAAGGAAGCAGCTGAGAAAAAGGCTGAGAAAGAACGCAAGGCGCCGGCCACTCGGGCCATGCTGCGAGCACCACTGACTTCAGGAACAAGACTTAGCAGACTTAGCGTTTCTCAGCTCCTTCATGCAAGGTCTATGAGGGTTAGACACACGCAGAAAATTATTGTTGCGATATCATATGTAATATATCATATAAATATAAGTTAGATATATAAAAAGCAATATACGGATGCATTAAGTTATATTAAGGTAAATACGAAACGAACTAACTAACTACTGTAGCTATCTAAAGAAATACATATGTAAATATACATGGAATACATAAATAATAAACACATAAATGAATAAACAAATGAATGAATAAATAGACTTATACGTAAAAATATAGAACTAACTAATTAACTAAGTAAATAAATTAATAAATGAATGCAGAACACATGCATATGTAAATATGATATAGTGCTCAGCTCCTCGCAGCATTGTTCCTTACCATTTCCGAGACGATTTGTCTTAAGGGCACGTGCCCTTCTTCCTTCAGATTGCCGACTAAACTGGCCTGGCCAATTGTTTCTCCGCGGAAGGCTGCCAAGAAGGCGGAACCCAAGAACAAGCTGCTGATCGTTTTCCAATCCCCCGATGGAATCGCGGCATCCGGCATGGGATGATCGGTGGTTTCAAGCAGCGATGATCAACAAAAACCCCCATTGAAAACCATGGATTTTCAGGAGCCAGACTCGTTTACCAGAGCGTTGAAGTTGTTCATCCACGATTCTTTGGTTGATCCGCCCGTTTTCGTAGGATATCAATGGTTAAGAATCCCACTTCGTGATTCGAAATCGGTCCCGAGCTGAATGGAATGTATGATGAACGTCGCCCCGCCAGTCCTAGCAGTGGTTGAGGAAAAGAGCGCAAGACTGTGACCTTCACAAGAAGGCGTGATGATGGGGGCTCCTGCTGATTTATTGAGCGGCCTATATTCGCATGTCTCTTAGAATCATGTACATGAGCAAAATATGCACATGTAGTTACGAAGATCAGCAAAATCGATGACTTTTCACCAAACTTGATGCTTGATGAAGCAAATGGTATAACGAAACTGCGATGACTTCCAATGGGAAGCGCATGCCAGTTGTCCCTTAGCTTAGATTGATGTGTGGATGTAAGCCCAGCAGCAACCTTGAATGGATATTATATCATATAATATTATATATATATACATACATATGTGTGTATATACATATTGTATATAGAATGTATGGACCAAAAGCAACAACCACACAATTGTTTCTGATGTTACCACAATTCTGAATGCATCCCTTGCTGCCTTGGAGGAATAGCCATCAGTGAGAAAGTCATGTATAGCAATCCACTCTGCAGCCTGCCAGTAGGCCACTACAGTTGAAGTTTTGTCTTTTAAAGTGCGCCCTTTTCAGTGTTCACACTTATAATTATTATATAGACCTTGCACAGTTCACCCCTATCACTAAAGTTAAAAACGATTGCTCTGTTTCTCAGATAAATTTGCATTTGAAGAACAACAGACATTACGAATGCCCTTCAAATGCGTTCTTTTTTCCCTTTCTTTGTTTTCTTCACACAAAACAGCTGTGCCACTACGCAAATAAACTTTGAAAGGAGAAGTGCCCCCAACTTTTTTCCCCCACCATTTTTCCAAACCAAATCCCAGATTTTTCCCCATCCACATCTCGCACCACAAAAAAAACCCTTGGTCCCATCGCCGTCCAAGGCCCTTGGGCGTGTCCTGCAACATGGACAGCATGCCCATCGTGGTGGGCGAGTTGCCGAGCGGTGAGGCCTATGAGGCCGGCGTGCGCGAGAACTGGGTGCTGTGCCAAGTGGGCAACGACCCCTCCAACATGCGGAGCCTCGACCTGGGATGGATGGGATGGGATGGGATGTGGTCCTGGGACCCCTGGGATTCTGAACTCTCCACTTTGCACATTTTTTTATCCAGGGTAAAACTTCACAGCAACGATTCTTGGTAGTCACCTCAGCCTTGCTAGTTGCTAATTTGCTAGTTGTTGTCAACTCTTATCCATAAAGCCCTGATTTACCGTTTGGCAATCCCCCATTTATACACTAAAGCCTCTCTTCAAACTTCAAAAAAGGGGATTTTCGATTGGCGTGTCCCCCGGTCCCATCCGTGCGGCCCATTTTTCAGTTCCTCCTTTTTTGGGGGCCACCGGAATGAATAGATCCAGTACATCCGACACCACTGAAAGGGTTGGGCGAATGTTGATGGTGTGGTAAATCCTCAAAAAATGGTCATTTTCATGCGGAAGATTGCGATTCACTTCCAGGAACTTTCCTCGCTCGGCTGCGGAACCCTACTCTTCGGTCCAGGCGAGCGGGTGGCCATAGATTTGGGTTCAAGGGAAGATATACGGGAACTCCGCGAAGAATGTAATATACACATCTAGCCTACTTACCTACCTACCTACCTACCTAATTACCTACCTACGTACCTACTTACGTATCTACCTACTTGCCTGCCTTCCTACCTACCTACGTACGTACCTACGTACCTACGTACCTACGTACCTACGTACCTACGTACCTACGTACCTACATACCTACGTACCTACGTACCTACGTACCTACGTACGCATATTTGAATTGAATGTGTGCGGTTTTTGTTTCAGGGTAGATGCACTTTTGCCTCAAACCAATCCCATGATCAATGATGGAGGCCGTTGTATGAAGTGGGCAATTGAAGAATACCAAGCATCTTTCACAATTATAGGGCAGATGATGCCTTTGACACACTGGATTTTCGAACCCTGTTGAATCAATGTGAGGAAATATCCATGGCAAAGCCCCTGAAAAACATCCCCACCTCGGGTGAGTTTTCTCTTAAACCACCGCTGGGAAATGTAAAAAACAACCAAAATCCTTATATTCCATGATGCCTCCAACAAAATAAACCAAAGACCCTAACATTCGAACAGTTCACATTTGTTCATGTTTGTTGTTGGTTAAGTTGCACCGTTAAACTGGTCAAACCATGGACCAAAGAACACGAAAAAAGAACTGGACCCCGTGGTGCGGCCAGGAGACCTTTAAATTCCTGGGCCAGCTGACCAAGGAGCTTCCTCAGGTGTGAAAATGGGGTATCTCATGTATCTCCATCTGTATCCTGGATTTATGTTTCCTCTTTTTGGCGTGCTACAAGAGATCAACAGGTAGCGAAGCCATTCGGACAGATCAGGTGCTGCGGATGATGCCAGAGTAGATCCATGAAGGTCCCGAAATTTGGCACCCCGATTTTTTAAAAAAACATGGAAGTGAGATGAACTTTCGAACGGCCAATTGAACCCAGGTAACCCAAACTCATTTTTTAAGACATTTCTATCATTTCTGTTGGGTTTGCTGCAGTTCCTTGTTGGGCGCTTCCCAAGAATTTCCTGCAGGTGTCATCCTAGATGCACTACAAGTTCGCTGCAGCCAGCGAAAAACAACGAGGGACTGGTGTGGCTCTCCACATGAGAGCAGTTCAGTTGACATTGTATATACACCATATATATATATATATATACGCATACACATACAAAGGCACATACACATACACATACACATACATATACATGCACACTCACACATGTATATCTATATCTAACATCTAACATCTAGTATCTAATATCTAATATCCAATATCCAATATCTAATATCTATCTATATATATATATATATGGATAAGCAACAAGCAAAAATAATGGGAATTTCACAAACAACAATGGTGGTATAGTAGGAATATCATGGGATGTAGTGGAGGTCTGAGTAACGACCTCACAGCGAGACTATGTGGATCCCGCCTTCGAAGAAATCAGGAGAAAGCCGAGGGTTAGCATTAACATAATCACCATAGAATCATCATATAGTCACCATATCATCACCATATAATCCATCAAATGTTGATTAGTATATCACCAAATATATTGGGGTTGGAATAAATTGGGTAACTGCAGTGAACAATCCAACCACTTCTGACTGCTGGCCCTGTGAAACTGGGCTAGGCCGTCAGATCTCTTTAAAGTCGAAGGATGTGTCCAGGACGATTTCATCGTAGATGTGTGGCCCAGGATTTTTTTTTCACCGTCCTTGAGACATCCCCAGCTTCATTTTGGGTGCCTGGCTGCTCAAAATAGCTCAGTGGCTCAGTCGTTGCCTTCCAGCAGAGTTTCCAGCAGGGGTTATCTGAGATGTGTTGGCCATCTTATTTCGTAGTAAGAGGTAGAGTTTTGCACAAATCTTCTCTTGGATTTATCTTGGTATGTTCATGACGGGGAATACCGCGATCAGCTATAATCATGTATATGTAGAACACATACACACACACACATATATATATATATCTATATAGTTCAATGATACTTTGATTGTCATGGAATCTGACGCTCCATTTTCAAGGGATGTTAGGAGCGTTTGGCCGTTGATTCGTTCAGTTCTCTCGGCTTTTCGTCAGAGAGCAGCTGGGCACCCCACAGCCGGTGAAGCGATCCCGTTCTCCCTGTCCCCCGATGGGGACAGGTTTAGGGCTGCCAGAAGGTCAGACAGATTTCGATGTCATGGAGATTCACGGGGAGGCTAGGCTACTGAATTGATTTTTGGGGATCTTTTGGTATATTGGGAGTTTTATTATATTTTATTTGTTCTTTGCTGACCAAAAAACAGAGGCTTTTTGTACGGGGGATTTTTGGGCAAACTCAACAGCCAAGCCGAAAAACTGACCTTCCGTGGTGAAGCGAGGTGCAAGAAATTAGGGCCAAGCGAAATGTCTCCAGCCCTGTTTCACAGGCAACCTCCTAAGAAGCCTCCAATCTCAGGAGAGATGCGCCCTATTCCGACTCAGGGCGTCTCCTGAGATCAAACGGGAGAGTGGGGGTGGCGTAAACCAACAAGTGCGCAGAAAAAAAACCAAGCGCCGCTGGTCATTTTGGGTCTTTTGGACCCAACATTCATGAAAGTTTCCTTTGGATTCCTTCTAAGCTCTTGCTCACCTTCAACATCTAGTACACGTCTATTTTTAAATTGTTTGAACGGATGTTATACATAGGCCCAGAATTGGGACCCGAGGCATTCTGCTTATGGCTCCTATGCGTCTTCATTGCCAGCATTGCTTGCCACATTGGGGGCTTGTGCATGATGTCAACTCTGGGCTGATTGGAGTGATGCCTTCTTTCCGACCTTATTGACCTTGGCTCAAGATCAAACAACGAGAGACAGCAAGGTTTCAAGGGTGGCACCGGCGGGCAAAGTCCCAGTTGACGAACGATGATCCGGACGGGCTATGGCCCCGTGGGTCTACGGCACCCCCGGGTGGCGGAAACCATCAAGCCGGCCGGGAGCAACGAAAAGAAGGAGGCCGGGACTGCCAGAGGATTGGCAAATCCAGCTTCCAGATCACTTTTTTTTTTTTAATGCACTTTTCATCACTTTTCCAATGCCTGTTGATCCTCCTCTTCCGAGGTGAAGATTTTCAGGAAATGGCTGGAGAAGAATCGTAAAGAGATCAAGGCGGAACAGTATCGAAGCATTGTGAAGCAAACCATGCTCTTGGCTGCAGCCCAAATGGAGGCGGCAAGGGGCCTGCCTCATGGAGGTGTTTCTTCATGTGGGGATGGGCATGGGCTGTGCTAAAAACAGAAAACGAGTGAATCTTGACGGTTGGTTTCCCACGACATCCCTCGAGGTTGTATACCGCATGTGATGGGTTTAATTTTTCAGCCACTAGGAATCTTTGGAATCAAAGGTTTATCGGGTAAACCACCAATGCTGTCCGACGTTCAGGTGAATGACATTGCCTTTGGGGCTCCATCAGTGTGCATTGATGAGAAGTCTGGTCTTTACAGGCCGGACATTGTTTGATTTCTGCAAAGGCTTGCAGGATGATATGTATTTTCTGGTGCCATTCGCAGTCTGTTAATACCTACATCCAGTACCTATATGATCCTATATGGCCTTCCATCCTCTCTTCATAGTATAGTGTGCCTTTTGTCAAATTGAACAGCTATATAAATTGATTTTACATTGCCATATTTATCCATATTTGACACAGCAATTGCGATGAAATAGGCTAATCACCGCCATTTCATGGTGGTTAACACATCATTTTCCCATGAGGACCATCCCACTTAGCAAGTGGTTTGATTTGCACAAATCCCCAGTGGCTGATCCACACATGTCTAGCCCGGATGTCGGAAGTCAGGTCTCCTGAGGAGATGGCCGTACGAGATAAACTGGCGAAAGACAAGATCAAGAGCTTGAAGGAACGAGGGCGAAAAGCCGTGATGATGATGATGATGATGATGATGATGATGATGATGACGATGACGATGAGGATGAGGATGATGATGATGATGATGATGATGATGATGATGATGATGATGATGATGATGTGGTTAGTAGTACTTAGTGATGGTTCGTACTAGTTAAACTAATTGCTGATGAAGGTTATCGATGATTATTAATGGTTGACGATGACGATGATGACGACGACAACGACGATGATGATTTAGGATGCAGATTCGGGATGAATGGTCCAATGTTTCATTTCTAGCATGATCAGTGTGGAAAATTGGGGAGGCATGTTTTTTTTTTCCCCCTCATCTGGTTAATGATGTTGTGACGGCTGATGGCTGACCCCACAACATATTCTATGGGAAATCATCCCCACTATAGGAGTATATAGGAGTTAGCAGAATTTGCCCAGAACTGTGCTGTTTGCGGAGCTGCTTCTCCCTCCTTGGCTGGGTGTGGTGGATCGCGGTGGGCCCCAAAACCAGTGAAAGCCAACTATCTTACAGATGCTTGAAATGTTTGTAGGTGGTAGGTGAAGTTAACATGGTGATTTCTTGGTTCAATTTTGTTGGACCCCGAATGCCCTGTGGCCCTGTGGCGCCGGCGCGAGCACGCTGAAACCAGGACGGCACTGCTGCCATTCCAGGAGGGAGGGTAAGAGGACCTGGTAGCCTGAAGAAGACAGGCAAAAGCCAAACCAGACATTTGCTGGTGAAGACCAGCAAATATCCCTGGGCATGGTACAAATACAGGCAGGGTGGCTCAGTTGATGGTTGAGGTGAAGAAGTTCTAGCAGCTTCTAGCATAACATGTCATATCTCAATGATTTCGAGGAGTTTGGTGCTCAGAGATCTCAGTTCCGTCCAGGTATTGGGTCATCCAGTCGGGCATCATGAAGGTCTATCGCACCGCAGGGCCCGAGTATGCAGGGGAGGCTCATCGCTTGTACGATATCAGGGAGGCCACCTGCAAGTTCGAGACTCGCGACATGGTGGGAATTCACGAGCCCTTTCTGGGTCAATATCAGGCGCGTGTGCGGCTTCTGTTGAAGGAGAGAAGCTGGGGACCCGTCTTCTTGTACTCCAAGGACGGGCAGCCAGGGCAACAAAATCATGGGAGCCAGCTGTGAACTGGTCAGCTGCTGAAACTTAGAGATTGTCAGCGTGCTTGCACGTATTTGAAATATTTCCCACATAGTTCAAGCTGCCAAAGTTCCAGCACATCCGCAGCCGGGGTTGAGCTAAGCAGCTGCAGGACGTCTCTGAAGCAAAATCCTGGGAGAGAGCCATTCGCATGTGCAAATATTTGCTGAACGCGGCTGACAGAGAGGCGTGGCTCGAGGATTCCAAACCCACCTACTAGGGCAGAGCTCCCTAACCCCGCAGTGAGCATTGGTATCCCTGTAAGAATCGGCCGTTGTGGTGAACCTTTGTGGTTGCGGGCTTGCTTGGCTTGGCCGTTTCTAGTTTGAAAATCATTTTCGGTCCCGACTTTATGACGGTTCTAGTCTGGTTAAACCAGTTCAACGGCCGAAAAAAAAAGCACCGCGCTCCGCGGTGCCGTAGGCCATGGCGTTCGTGATTGGTCGCGTGGCGGGCTCCATCATGGCTAAGGGCTGGAACGCGGCCTTCAGATACTACAAGGAGTTGGAAGACACCCGGCGACTGATCCGTGGTTTGGCAATGAGGCTCATGAAACTGGACCTCAGCCGAGCTTGGAACAAGGCCAGCTACGGGGGAGGGGGTGAGATGGATTGCCCGGTTCATTGATTTTCGTTTCGGGCTAGAAACACCAGGAATTGAGTTTGCAATGAGCAACCCTGGGTCAACCCTAGGTCATTTGACCTGCCATGATTAGGAACTCTCTCATTTCAAGGCCCCTTGGGCATGCCACACCTTTGTGAGGCACGCTTGGTGTACTTGCAGAAGAGTCAGCAGGAGAAGCTACGAAAGGAGACGGCTGGATGTTCGTCAGGGGGTTGATGGCAGTTATATTTCCGTGCCACTGATTGCCATTGCTGACCCCTCGCGACGGATCTATTTTTCCGCAGCATCCCCTGGAAAGCCTCGGACGTCCCGACCTGTCTCGACCAGGAGCAACAAGACTGGGCGGCCCGCTTTTTGCGCGACAAGATGGACAGGATCAACAACCAAACGGCCAGATCACCGGCCATGAAACTCGGCCTCCGCATTTTTCAGGTCCTTTGGTTGGAGGCCCACCAGACAAAAAGTCAAGGACAGGATGACTTTGTAGGTTGAGGCACGCACCCCAGATGATATGGTCAGCGAAGCTGGCACAGGTCCAATTTCTCCAACTGAAGAGTAGTAGAATGACATTAACTAACCTCTATTCCGCTGGCGAAGACGACATCGCAAACGTTATTATTTTTCTAAATAGGGATCTCTACTTGGTTAGACTGTGGTGGCCTCCAAATCTGATTGAAGTTCATAGTTCAGTGATTTCTGAGCGGGTCGTGGCTCACCCCAAAATGACCAATATGCTTCAGGTCTGTGCATTCTTCCTCACAAATCTTGGCAGCATGAGTCAAAATTGGCTACCGCAGAAATGGGACGTTTTCTACTCTTTGATACCTCAAAGGATGGCATGCTTTATATAATGCTACTCATACCAATGTCCAGTCCATCATGTCCATCATGTTCAGGTGTTTTTTCATTTTTTTCTCCTTTTGCCTTCTGCATCTCCTTTTGAGTTGCGCTGAGGATCCGCATGGCGGCCATCAACAAGGTGCAGCTCCTATTCCGTCACTTCCGCCAGGACCATATCTTTGATCGCTCCTATGCGCTGGGAACCAACGTGCCACGGTGATGCTGTTGGGGAGATGGTGGGCATAGTTTTTTGTTGTGAGCTTTTTTTTGGAGAGGTTGGATGTTTTGGTTGATTGGTTGATGAAAAATGGATAAAAATGGTTGAAATTGGGTGGAGGCAGCAATCTTTTTTTTGATCGAAGAAGTACTGGTAGGTCGCAACTCCCAGGTCAACACCCGCGTGCAGCAGATGATGAAAGGCGTTTCAATGTCACTTGGCGCTGGTTTGTTTGAACCCCAGCTGTGTTCAAGATTCAACACTTTCTCCACAAAAAAATTGGATATTAAACCCCGATGATGATGATGATGATGATGATGGTGATCATGATGACGATGACGACGATCCCCGACCCGATACAACATATGAACATGGAATTACTGTTTGTAAGGGGCAGATGGTTGGATTGGTCAGCAGATGTGAAGCGGCTGGAATGCTTCGCTGTTGTTTGGATGTGTGAAAAGCGACAGGACCCCACATTTTTCATTCAGTTTTTCCCATCCTACTCTGGATGGAAGAAATCCTGCACCAGTTGATAGGCTGTTTATCCCATTATTTATAGGGTTTCAACCATTCAAGGTGGTGCAGGATTTCTTCCATCCACTGTAGTATAGGGAGCGTCCTGTTTCCTCACACCAAGTCTGGCATGTTGGGCGGCCGCATTTTGCCACCGCAGTCTGTCATGAAGAGTTGGTGGAATTGTGACCCCCAATGCCAACAGGTCGGAAACATGGATTGTACTGCTAGAGAGGGGCAATTTTCATCATTTTTCATCATGAATCATGGGTATATAATTAACTACAATTATATATAATGATATCAGACTGGTATACCAGATCAATTTTCTGGGTTCCACAAAAATTATTCACTAATTATTCCATGGGCTTCTGACCTTGTCATCGGTCGCTGTGTCAGGATGGCATCTTTCACCTCCTTGACCATCAAGGATGTTTTGCAGCTCACCCTGAAGGGGGCAGCTGGGCAGCAAACTACGACTGGAAATGGGAGGATTTTAGTGATCTGGTAGGGCTAATGATATACATTTCTCTCTATAAATATTAAAAACATGCGCAGATAATGATGGTTTCTATCCAGTAGCACTCACTGGTATGATCACCCATGTTTTTTCTTCTGTTTTGTGTTGCTCTCACTGTGCGACATGCCGTGCAATCTGCTCGGCTCAGGAGGGTTTGTCTCAATTCTACGAGAACATGGATGCATATACAGACTCAAAAGCATCGCAATATTCGGAGGCTGGCCTTGAGTGGCGTCCTGTTCGTCACAGTTGGTGATTTTTACTGTATTGGTTTCAACGGCTGCAATTTCTCTAGATCGAAGTTTTTTGTTCTTCAAACTGTTGTGCAAGGGCAGGCAAGCTTTGGAGCAGGGCGCAGGGATCAAGGTCTAACAAAGTGGAGCCGTGAATTGACCCATGTTAAGCTGGTGGCCAAAAAAGCAGAAAACCTCTGAAACAGATGCAAACACGTGAGTGATCAGGCTGTAGGAGAACATGTTCCGAAATATCCTGTTTCAGGTTTGTGTGAATTATAAAAAAATACTCTTGGCCACAGGAGGCCGGCTGTTTTTTTCCTCTCATGTCATTTGCTCAGCAAGTGCTGCGAGGTGAAGGTGACGCTTCAGCCGTTGCAGTTCAGCATTTCGGAGAATTTCACCATGCTGTCCTTTTCTGAGAAGGACAGCGGCTCGATCCTACACAACGCCGGCTGGGAACACTTTGCGGCTTGGCTGGACTGGCTGGACTGGCTGGACTGGCTGGACGACCAGCTCACTTGATACACTTGATGCACTTGGCGTAGGAACCATGATTCTCCAAGTGATCCATGGGGTAATGACTTGGTTCACCTTTTTGGATGGCTTATATACCCTCTGGTTATTTAACATAGCCATGGGAAATGGCCCATTTATAGATGGTTTACCTATTAAAAACGGTGATTTTGCATGGCTATGTTAGTCATAACCAGAGGGTATATATTTAATCTTGGCAGCCTGAGCCATGATATCCGTGATGTATTGCCGGGATCGGCCGCGTCGAGGTGAATCTGAACCAGATCAGTTCAGTGATCCTTCACACCGAACGCGCCTTAGAGAAGACCAACAAAGGCGATCGTTTGCCGCCCTCCAGTTGTGGTGGGGTTTGGTTCACCATCAACGGTCCACGGGTGGGCTGGGGCTGCGGCCTGCGTATGGTTACGGATCAAGAGACGCAGAAACCAAGTGGCCTGGCAGGGTGGCAAGCAAAGATTGACCGGGATGCAGCTTCATTACGGTAACTTTCATCCTCTCTACATCTCTCCACTTTCGCCCATTTTTTCTTCATGGCTCCTCTAAGCACCCGATTTTCTGCAGCTGTCCCATTTGCTCCATCTGCTCCATCATTTCCAGACTTGGTTGAAGGAAAAGGGACCCCCGCAATATCTTTTCGCGTAAAAAAATGCCACAAAATCTAGAATTCCATGGTTTCCGGTCATTTCATCCCTGATAGCAAGCCCCAAAAAGATAGACACGTAACTTGCCACTGTTCTACTCACGCTTGACTTTTCTATCTTTCTGACTTGTTGGGGAGCTGCTATAAACTCCCAGAAGCCAAGCCGATTTTCCGCGCTGAGTTCAAGAAGTGGTGGGCTCTCCCGATGGCATCTACTTGGGCCAAGCCTTGGCCAAGGGCTCCGCCCTACAGTGGCTGCGCATGGAGATTGGCATCAGAGGAGCGGAGGTGCCCGACCTGCGGAGCCAGCTGCCGGAGGAGGGACAGGCCTGGGGAACATCCCATGGTCCAATGGTGTCCCAAAAGCTCTGGGTTTTCACAACGGATGGGTGAAGCGGTCACCGTTAAGAACCAGGGAAATGATGACAGATGGTAGCCCCCAGCGGGCTGGTTTTTCATGGTTTTTCTACCAGGACAGGATTAGTTGGGGATGGAAGCCTGGAACGAAGTAGTCATTTTTCCTTCTGTGAAAGGTTAGGCCCTGACAAAAGAAGGGGCACAACGATTCGCTGCAAATGGGAAGGATGGGGTGCATTTCCTTGCAATTTGCGGGCCTCCAGGTCTCACAGCACTATTATTATGGTTATGGAAACCGGCTGCTCGCAAAATGGCGGAAAATTAGGAATAGGATTTCTCAACATTGGCATTTCCCAATTCTTTTTTTCCTCTCTCTATGCCCGCATGTAGCCTCATTCATTTGCTTGGGGTTCAAGGAAAAATTGTTGGAAACCATGGTTCCCCCGCCCCACATATTACTGGGCTTCCCATCCATCCATCCAAGCGCCAGCCGCAGGCAGAGGTCTTTGGAGAAGACAGCGAGGTCCGCTCCGACTTCCAGACCTTCCTGATCCTCACGGTGTTGGGCAAGCGCTTCAGGAGCACTCCATCCACTGGGAAGTCGCCAAACTACCAAGGGTGCCTGGGCCGAGAAGGATTGGGCTCTGGGGGAATGGGGCAACTTTTGCATGGCACAGCAGCTTTGCTCTCTGAGGCCCTACATGGGGAAGTTTGTGGCTGAAATTCCCTTGCCAGTGGGAGAGAATGGTATCGCAGCCCTTGATTTGTCGGAGATTGGCATTGATGTGATTGAACAGGATCCCCTTGACTTTGAGAAAAACCGCACCATTTGGGCCACCAAGATTCTGAGATTGCATTTAAAAGGCTAGGAGCGGCAGATGTTAGACGGGATTGAATCAAAGCTAGAGTGCAGACGTTTCAGGGTGTGACTGGTTGCCGACTCGCAGGGCAGGTTACAAGTTGTTTCATAACCTCCATGAACATCCATTAACTATATCAATACATTTCCATACATTTCCCATAAACCATAGTTAAGCATAGTCAGCCTAGTTACTTTACAGACCAGCTTGGCTAGGGGGTACCACCTTATAGAAGCATGGTTATTGGCCTCAGCCATGCTAAGGATGCCCTTATGGAAGCTCTTGGGCAGTGAGGAGGAAGTTGCTGCAGTCTCGGCCCCTCCACCCAGCAGCAACGCCTTCACAACGATGGGCCTGGAGGTTCAGACCTTGACTCAGTTGGGATTGGTGGAAGAAGCTGCCGAGAATGTGTGCCTTAGACGAATTGGACGAGTTTATGCGTGTTTGATGCGGCCAAGTTTGAGGAGATCTTCATTTATCTCTAATGGAAGGGGCTGGCCGCTACACCAGCTAAGGCTTATCTTATAGGGTCGTGTCTGAATCCAAATGTTACTCTAATCTATTTCCATTTATCTCCAGATCTTCCTTGTACCTAGGCGTCTGTGAGTCCTTCTTACATATTGACAGTACTCTTCGGCCCCCCTAAAGTCCTTTTGCACCGCTTGGTTTAATCGAGAGGTACCCCTGCAAACCAGCAATAGGATCCCAAAGGTGAATCACGGGAAAGGGTACGGAAAAAAAAACACGAGCCAACGATAGCTCCAAGGCATTCCTTGAGGGCTTCCCTCAATGCGGGCGCGCGAAAGACCAACAAGCGCGTGCATTTGATGCATCCCGCTGTGGATAGCTCGGACACGCTGCCGGTGAAGGCACGGCACGAAGATGGGTGTGGGTCACGCCGGTGAGCTTCCCCTAAAGTGGATGGTCAATACTAAACTTACTAAACACGACTAGACATGACCAAATGAACTCAGGTGGGCTGGGAGCATTAGATTTTGACCCACATGCAGATGAAGTAGAATGAACTCAGAAGTGTGAGTTGCAAAATCTGGGTCCGGAGAGGTTCCCAACCAAATTTCAATTGGTCAAATGTTTGAGTAACCATTGGCAGCTTGAGGACATGACGATTTCGCGAAAAAAATCGGGAAATTTCGTATCCGTTGAGTCGTCGAGTGCTCCTACTGTACGGGGTAAACACCTTTTGCCAAACATGGTCAAGTGAGTCAAGAGTCAAAAAAGGCTTAACAACTAGTCAATAATTTCCAGAGGCCCACCATTTTGCAGCATGAAACGAAAAAACACACTTATTTTTGAACATATACCCCCAAATCCACTGGTTAATCATCATGTCAATTCATTTTCCCATATTTTCCCATTTTTTCCATGGCCATAACTGGGCCATAGCTACTTTTCATGTGGCACCAGGTGTATTTTTTAGTGTATCCGTTCCGAGGCCTTTATCGATCTGGAGGTTAGTGCGAAGGTGGCCGCGTCCTCATTGTTGCCACGGACCTGCATTTCTCCCGAAGTGCAAGGACCTGAAACCGACGATCCTGGCGGATCCATCACGATGGGATGGCAGTTCGCCAACGGTCGTTTAACGGGAGGAAGCCATCATTGAATTTTCCTCAGTAGGCGTGTGTTTTCGGGGTGATGTCGTTTCCACATATTGATCATAGGGGGCAAACCAACTTCCATTATGCATCGGCTTAATTCAAAATCTGATAGTGTCATTCTTCACAATTTCGATACGGTGGAATCGCAATTCCGCAGCGATTTTTGATGGTACGAGGCTGGCCCCCAGTTATACGTTGGTTTATAACTCTCATGAATATATCATAATCTTACACACACATATGTATATATCATATATATATATATATTATAGATTAATGTTACCACACACACACAGAGACATACACACATACGTACTTACGCACTTACTTACTTACTTACTTTACTTTACTTTACTTTACTTTACTTACTTACTTACATACATGCTTACATGCTTACATGCTTACATACTTACATACTTACTTACTTACTTACTTACTTACATCCATCCATCCATCCATCCATCCATCCATACATACATACATACATACATACATAGTTACATACTTACATACATACGGACATATACACGGAGATATATCTATTATATATATATATAGATTTATCTTTACCATGAAGCCCAATTAGCCAAGTTGTGTTCACTCCCACCTTAGCGCATCGCCGCTGGAAGGACGAGGATCAACGGTCAACCTCTTCACTTCGCACAGGGTGGGCTAACCGGGACTGGCGGAGGATTTACGGTGGCTTTAACCATCAAAAATGGGGGAAACATAGGAATTCCACCAGGAAAACTCGGGATTAACATGGATTTAACAATATTAAACTAAAGATGAATGAAGAATGGACATGGGTCTGTCGAAATTAGGGCTTCAGCATGGTTTAGCTCCAATTTATGGCACTCCGAACAAGAAAAAAGAATGGATCCATAAGATTTTGGGGAAAAAATAGTTCCAAACCTGGAGGAATCTACGAATTTGGCCATGCACGTTGGGTTGGAAAACGGGGATCTCAAACGTCAGATGTTCAACTGGGCACTTACAAAACCACTCCAACTCTAGATCCGTTTGGAGGATTCGGGCAGCTCAAATTGAATGCAACCAGTCATAGGTTCACCTGCCAGCAAGGAGAAGTGAGAAGTCCACAGCATCAATGGTAGGGGCGAAGAAAAAAATGATGAATTTGGCCAATCTCTGGATGACTTCAAGCTATATCACCGCAAAGTAAAATTCCTATCCAGAGAGCATAACTCTTAGTTATCCTGGAGTTGAGAAGACATCACCCATTTTCAATATTGAGATGATTTTGGGATAGTCCGATTTTACATTGTATAGCAAACAGTAGCTGGTAAACCCAATGACCTAGAACTCGGGGATTGTTTATACCACCAATTTTTATCCGTTTTTGGTTATGGTTTGTTCATCCCATTCCCCGTTCATATTGGCACCTCCACTCTATATATCATAATATATTCTATGGTTCCAGTCACATGTGTTTTCATGCCCTACTTAGACGCCATGGCGCCTGGTGTTTCCTTTGAGACAATGGGGAAGGGATTAGAGTGATTAGAGTTGGCTAGTTGCAGGCCATTGTATCCCAACTGATCATTAATATCGATTTCTGATGAATGTTACAGTCATATAACCATCATTATATATCCTCATTAATATCCATTATTTATCCATTAAACCAAATCACCATTAAATCACCATTAAATCACCATTAAATATTACCCTTTCTGATGGTTGAACTGTTAAACCCCTACCAAGCGCCAGGCTGCTTGGTTGGACTCAGCTGGCATCATGAGGCAGGGTGGAGTTCGCAATGACCAAGACTAGGGGTAAAGCTTGGAGTTGGTAGATTATATTAAGTTATATGGCTATGGATCAATACCTATACATACCATTTTTAGTGGGATGAACATCCATTTACCAGCTATTTTGATGTTCACCAGGGGTACAAGGTTTTGACCCATCCCCATATTAAGTTATATGATCATGGTTTACATATCACATGTTGTACCGGGATTTATACTTCGGCAGTTGTTGGACCTTTTTTTTGGGGGGGGGCCAGGGTATCTGCTGTAAGATTGACAAGCCTGGATGGGAGGCATGTGAGCGTGCCGAGCATGGTGGAGTTGAAGGTGCCTTGGTGTGAAAAACACGTTGTGCCGTCATGTTGCGACCGAAGGCTGCGACGGTTTTTGCAAGGCGGTGTTGTCCCAAAATGACGCTGTAAAATTTCAGGTTGATGACTTATTCAAGTTCCAATTCATACAATTCAGAAAGGTCTATAAATGGATGTTAATGGGTCATGTTCATTCAAGGAAAAGATTCCCTAACATGGGTTAGATGCATTCCATCTCAAAACAAGGGACCCGAAATGACTCAAGATGAACACGGCGATCATTAACAAGGATGCAACAACCTTGGGAGGAAGGGATTGCAGCTTTCCATAAGATCAGCTTCCCTCTATGAACATATGGCAGTGGAAAATCCCGCAAAAAAAGGAGGGTTTTGATGGGAACATCATCTACAAATGGGGGATGCGGAGGGGGGTTCCATATGGCGCAGGTCAGAGAGCTGCTCTTCCCCAGTGATGATCCTTCAGAGGAGATCTCAGCCCTGAGTTATGGTGTAACAACGAAACTTATAACGACCTCACTGCGACCGGGCCCTGGAATCATGGTTTATTTAGGGGAAATCATCCCCAAATGGCCGAACTATTCAGGTTAGTGAAATATTGTAATTTGCCCAGAAATGTATGTCAAAAAACTAGTTATGAGGTGTTTATGAGGTGTTGACCACACTTGGTAAGCCCGTTTGACCTACTCAAACTGAGCTCCAGGAGACCCGTCTTTACAGATACTTTGTGGAAGCCACCTGCTGCGGCGTGCGTCGCAGCACGGTCGCGCTCTGTCGGCCCAAGAAAACCTGGAGTTACTTGGTGCCCTGCGATCCTTCGCAGATCGACTTCAAGGCCGAGGGGGAGGGTGTTGAGGGGAAATGCCATGGGTGAGTTGGTTAATCCATGTTCAACATGGGTTAATCCAGCATTTCAGTTTGCGGAAAAAGCTGAATTGCTCAGCAGTTTGTTAATCCATGGGGGCCAGGCGAGCAACATCTTCTTGCCCTTGCCCCCTGGAAGTTGGAGTGATCTCCATGCGCCCATGGTGGAGGCCCTTTGGATCTGCTTGGATCTCTGTGGATCTGTGGAGATTTTCCATGTGGAACTGAGACAAAAACAGAACATATGGGTACGGGTCAATACCTATAGATACCATTTTTAGTGGGATGAACATCCATAAATCCCAGCTATTTTGGGGTTCACTAGGTACCAGGCTTTTGACCCACATCCATATTATAACATGGTTACTACAGGAACCATGTTCTAACCAGGATGTATTCCCAAGTAGGACGGATGGATTCACTCTGTCCAGGTGAAGATCTACAAGACCATGGTCTATGAGACGCCAACCCTCAACTACCAGGAATTGCTGGCGCACAATGGTCCCTGGATTGGAGCTGGGCATGGGGAGTGCAAATATTTCGACTGCAAAACCTCCATGACGTGATGGGTTGAATATCTTTGCATATCTTTGCATGATTCTGATGATTCCTAGGGATTTTATTCAGCTGTGATTCCTTCTTAGTCCAATTTCGAAGTCATATAAAACCTGAGATTCCCAAATTTTTGCCAGTTTTTTCAGTGGCTCATGCTGGATTCATAAGCCCATTTTCAGTGGTCAAAAATGGTCAAAACATCTCAAACCCCACCAGCATGAGCATTGCCTTATGCTGGGTCGACCCAGGCAAGACGTCGCCTGTGGCACCGGAGCCGGAGATGGTGTACCATGCAGAGCTGTCCTTGGACTCCATGACCCTGGACTTCTCGAGGAGTGGATGGGGTGGATGGGCGTCTAATTCTGGGGATAATATGGATATTAAACCATCAACAGTAGGGACTTGATATGGGTTAATGGGACTTAATATTGGATAATATAGTTACCTGGTTGGTGGTTTCAAACACGGTTTTTATTTTCCATATATGGGATGTCATCCCAACCCCGGGGAATCAACATCCATAAATTGCCCATAAATCCCAACTATTTTGGTGCCACGGTAGCCAGACCCATATATGGCCCATATATGTCTGTACAGACTATATATGGGACGATCATGGAACTAAATGGTGGGTTCTTTAGCCAAGAAATATGGATTGCGAGAGAGTAACTAGCAAACATGCGGGAGTTTAACCATGAAAATCAGCAATGGTGGGGATTTAGCCACAAGAATTAGCGAAAATAAACCGGCAAGCGTTTCAACATCACCAATGGTGAAACCTCATGGGAGAATCCGCCGCAGGAAACAAGCCCAAGTACCCTTCGCCAAAGCCAAGGCAGAGGGGGAATCCCCCAACAGTTGGTAAAGCCCTGGCTGCAGATTCCCAGCATTAAATGTTAGCCACTTGATTCAGGGACCCAATATGTTGGGGAGGGTCTTATGTACAGAAACATGCTCTGGATGAGGGCCATAGTTTGGGGATGTTTGGGGTATCTCGCGCCGGCGCCGTCCTGAACTTGGTACCTGCAATCGATCAAAGGTGGTGAAACCAATCAGTATCCTACCATTAAAAGATCATACTACTCTAACCACCCCTTCTGATTCTGGTACGATTGGGGATCATGTATAAACCCATGTTTTTGAACCCACGTAAGCCGGGTTCACTGATGAGTTTCAAAATCAACATTGGGGGCTTTTTGCCCGTCGCCATCTCGCGAATAGCTCCAGGCAACCGCCACCAGCTACAACGTGGCCAAGGCAGGGACAAGTCTTGGCCAAGGCTCTTAGCATTTCCTCCACGTTTTCCAGCCCTGCATAGTAAAGACATCTTCTTTAAGGTCTCAAAATGAACAGATCCAGTGACCAGGGTTTCCGCCTCGCGACAGGATGAGTTGAGCCCCGTGGAGAGTCCTGCGATCTTGGTCTTGGACATAGCCCTGCGAGACAGGGACTTTGCACGCTTGCAGACTGCTCAGGACATGGCGGGGCTGGGAGCCCTGATGGTTGCAGGTATGGGACGGATTGTCTGATTAAGATCATTGGATTCGGTTAGACTCTTAGACAGTTAGACCATGGCACGCTGGATTCCTTGCATCTTCATTTGGGCCTACCAGATGCACAGGACCCCCGCGCGGGCGTGGTGTGCGTGGGAGACAAGGCCATGATTCAGGTAGAGGAGCCGATCAGCTACCCACTGAATGAGGCCTGGTAGGACTGAGTGCATAGTCTTGCATCAGCTTGCATTTTTTTGAAAAACATGTGTATTATTGTGATGGTTTAGCATTTTTGATCCCAGAACTTGCAATACTTCAATTAAAGCGCGACCCCCCACTAGAACATCTAGAACAGACAAGTTGGTTTAGAACTAGGTGAAATGAGGTTTTGTTGGATATCATCATCGGCAGTTGCATGGAAAGCAAACATCCCTATCTAGGGCTCCTTCTTTGCAACCCCACAGGTGGAATATCGCCGCCGTGGTTTCCCTGGAGAGTCTCTTGGGCATGAGAAAAGGTTAGGTTTGGAAATAAAAACTGGCAACTGCAAAAAAAAGTAACATGTTCAGAGGTAAATCATCTAGAAATCGTGGATTTTACTTGATAAAGCCTGACACACTTAAAAAGAGGTATCTACGACTTGTTACACTTAACGTGACAACTCAACTTACCAAAGTCACGGAAAAACTTAACTTTTGAAATCTCTTGAAGTTGCTTAACTTTTCGACATATGCCGACATTAAGCCATGACCGAAAAACTTCCATGGCTGTCAGGTTCCAGGTGTCGCGGCGTCGTGGCGAGTTGTGGTCAGCGCCTTTGAGAGATCCCTGTGCCTCCAATGAGTACAAGGTGGCCTCGGCCTCGGCCTCGCGGCCTCGGCCCTTGTGGGTGTTGGTGGATGAAATTTTAGGGGTCAACAGTAGAAAAACATCGCATTTTTGTACAACCATGATCATGGATGATAAACTGATAAACGGATAGTCAGATAGTATCGCGATGGTGGAGTTGGTTTTTTCTTGGCTCAAGGCCCGATTTAAGCTGTGAACCTCCCAATCCAAAGTGGTTTTTCGGCCAGCCATGATGGAGTGGAGGGTCATAAATTCATTCTGAAGGGGGTTACGTCAATCTAAAACGGTTTGGCAGGCCCCCGCACGTTATGGATGCTTCAAGTTTTTCAAGACCCTGACAACCATCGCAAACGATCGTAGCTGTCCCGGACAAAGTGATGAATGACTTCATCCGCTAGTAAGATAGCACCCCTGCAATTCATGCAATTCAACAGCCTGGTTTCCAAAATAGAACTACCCTCTGGTAATTTAACATAGCTATTGAAAATGGCCCATTTATAGTTGATTTACCTATTAAAGATGGTGATTTTCCATAGCTATGTTAGTTTACCAGAGGGTATCTGAGGTGAACATCACATTCTGGGCAAATTTCATCACGAGCGAATCCTGTTCTCCCTTTAAGCCTGGTTCATCATGGTTAGTTTTGGGTGAATCATCCCAAAATGTATGGCCCGAGAGGGTTTCCGGTTTTTGTGAAATATGAATTATTTTGAGATTTACCCAGATGACTAATAACCATCAATACAGTGTGTAAACCATCAATAACTAGAAAACCATCCTATTTTTATACCATGTTTTCAGAAATGTTTTCACAATGCACATGGCTAGCCACAAAAAATCTCATGGTTGATCAGGCGAGCGGCCTGGGCGAGTTGATTCCTCCAGTGCCGCGGCGCGATCAAGGTTGTGCCCAGTGATTATATAAACCATACAATGTGGGGCCCCCTAGATAGCTAAGTTGGTTTATAAGCCCCAATAACTATAGTTATAAGTACCATAAACCATAGTGAAATGGGAGTTATTGGCACCAACTGAACGCTATCGTTTGGGGGCCCCACTTTGCAGGCTTTAATCAACTAACATGATGGATTTTGAAGCACCAACCTGTGGGAGTTCCGCAAAAAAGTGATTGGTCCGCAATTCTAGTGAGAAGCAGCTAGCTGGGACCATAGCAATCTAACTCTTTATCCTATATATATATATATATATGAATGTATCATATGTGTATAGACATCTGTCTGTGGTACATATTATGACTTATTTGGGTACCGGATATAGGTCAAAACATGTCAAAACCATCCGTAGGTTCACATCAAAATAGCGGTTGAGTTCATGGATGGTCATCCCCCAATCCACCCATTGAGAAAACCATCGGCCTTTTGCAATCCCTTTCCAACATTCCAAGAATTGGTTTGTGGGAAAAGTTATGTTTGAAACTTTGAAACCTGAACATCTGTAGATCAAAAAAGGCCCATGGCTTTCAATTCGTATCAATCCATTGACATATGGGGCACCGTATTTTTTCAGCAAAACGCATTACATAAAGGATTGCGAGCAAATAACAATAAACATCCTTTTGCCAGTAAAATGGAATATATATATATATATTCTCTCTATATATATATATATTCTATATATATATATATATGCACATATGTACACACACACACACACGTATATAATTATATATATATACGTACATACTGTCAACACATATGTTTATGATTTCGACTTTGCCAAACTATCAACATCACTTTTTGCTGAATATTTTAATCTTTGAGGTGCCCTTCAAGCAACGCTTCCTGTCCAACAGCCACGACGACTTGGCGCCCCACAAATATGTGCTCCAGCACAGCGAGGCGGAGCATGTGGCGTTGGTGAAGCCAGGTGGGGTCGATGGCTGGGGCTGCAGGGTCCTTTTTTTGGCGTCTTTGGTGGTGAATGTATCGTTTTTTTTTTTTTGGGTTGATAAAACGATAAGTATATGTATGTGTAAACAGATCAATAAGTAAGACACGCGCACACACATATATGCATATATATATATGTATATATGTATATATGTATATACGTATATATGTATGTATGTATGTATGTAATGTAATGTAATGTAATGTAATGCAATGTAATGTAATGTAATGTTATGTTATGTTATGTTATGTTCTGTTCTGTTCTGTTCTGTTGTGTTGTGTTGTGTTGTGTTGTGTTATGTTATGTTATGTATGTATGTATGTATGTATATATATAGATATTGATTGATGCTTCGACATGGCTTTAATGAAACAAATGGATGCTTAAAATTGGATCAAGTATCGCCATTTTCTTGGAATGCAATCCATCCTTCTGCTAGCCCTTTCCAGTTCCAGATGCACACAGGTACCTACTGGAGGATCATGGACAGCTTGGTGGTGGACAAGAGCCAAGAGTTGCAGAAAAGGATGATGAACACCGAACGCGAAGAAAAGAAGCACCTCAGCTGATAAATCTAGCTGAGTCATTGATTTCTGGGGTTGCCCTTCCAAAAAAGACATGTTTTTCTAGCAACCTCAGGCTCGGACTGCTAGTTGTGTGATTCTGGCTGATTCTGGCTGACTTTCTTGGCATTGTAAGATACGGGCATGCTTCAAACTGAAATCCCTAAACATGCAATGCTGTACCAGTAAGTCAGTAAGCACCCCCAAGCATCAGGCTGCTTCCCACAACTTTTGGAAATCACATTCCCCAAAAACAATTTCCAAGCCCACCATTCCGGCTGAGTCATGTTTTGTCCCGTAAAAACACCTCCCAAAAACGAACAATCTCCAAATCCCCCCAAAATCAATCTCCAAACATTCCCACACATTTCCAGATATTTCCAGAAAACATCTCCAGGCAAAACGCCCCGTTGTTTGTTTTTTTCGAAGGCACCTGCCTCAAGTGGTGGAGAAGCTCTCGCACCTCACGCGCAACGTGCCGGTGACCGTTCTGGCCGTCTATCCGGACCAGACCTGCGATGTGGAGCTGGCGTCCAACTTCATTGCTCAGTGGGAGCGACGCTGAACGGGGCAAAAGATGTTGGGGAGCCACGGTAGATTCGTTACGAAAGCCATATCAGTGAATTATATGTAGATGAGAGAAAGAGAATAACATATGTGACATATATACATATATATATATACATGTATATATATATATTTACACACTGCATGCGTGTAAAGATATGCAAGCATTATGCAGCGGAACTGTGGATGTTCCGTCTAGGATTTTCCATCTATAACTGCCTTGTCACATGGTTATTGGCAACTTTCTAACTGGAATGCGCTCTCAAGTGCCCGATGAATGGGGTCCTGTAGTGTGTCTCTTCCATGACCACCTTACTTGCATCCTTTTCAAGGGGGTTTGAAAAAAGTCCAATATAAATTTATCTTGAAAGAGAATCACCAGTCAAGATGGTGATAGCTCACGCTGTGAGGCAAACTTTCCAAGAACCCCAGGAACTTCCAACCCTCCGTGTGAAACCGCCACTAATCCCATCTTCTGCAGAATCAGCATTCTCATCTGATCCCCATTCAGATCGCGATTGTATGGCCTAACTCCATGTCAATCCATGTCAATCTTCCCAAAAAATGGAGCACCGGATCGCCACAGGAGAACCAGCCGCACAAGCCCTACGCCTTCCAGGGCTCCGTGATCATCGGCGAGCACCTGGACATCAGTGAGATGGCCATTCGCTCCGCGCCCATCGGCGCGGGGGACGTGGGGGAGCGGAAGCGCAGGCGCATCATGCTGAAGGGCATCCAGTTGAGTTCGCTGCTCAGCGTGCAACCTGCCACTTGGCAATGCCAGGAGCTCTTCAGCTGGCTGAAGCTCCAATGGTTTTAGGCAGTCCACCTGATTTCTGGGGAAATCTTGGGGATGGCTTGATTTTTTGGTCAGTGATGTTGTTGGGGGTTGGGATATGTTGAGGGGTGGTTGGGTTTTCCAGGGCAAGTTTGGTTGATGTGGGTAGTAGGGGTCTAATTCCTGCAGGAGGTGAGCAATTGTGTTTCAGAGAGGTTCTGGAAGGCTTGCGCTTTTCTTTGGTGTGAGACACTACTAAGTTCTTGATACTAAATGTCAAATGATGTCAAATGTGATATTAGTTACTAGTAGTTACTAGTAAGAACAAGCATCATTTGGCATTTGTATAATATACCATATACTTCGCATAATGTATAAGTACCTTTCGAAGCATCATTTTTCTCGTGCGGTTTCGAGGCCAGCTTCAACGTCTACGATGCAGCCTTGACCACCACGGATGAGATTGTTCGCATCGAGCCCAGAAGAATTGGCAATGACTACAACCCAAGGTGCCGCAGGGTGCCGGCTGAAGTCTGCTGAAGCCAAGTCCTTGGAGATTGAAAAAGGCTGACTCCCTGGAGAATTTTTAACATAAACCGGGTTATCACCTGACTTGGCTTGGCATTGGCCGTTCTAGACTTTTCAGGGTCCTGATTCTCTAGAGAACCTCAGTTTGGAAGTGAATTCAGTCATTCGCTTCACCCCCGAAGCGACATGACATCTCCGCCGCTGCTGAACTCCCAAGACTGTCCCATTCCCCAGTTAAGGGGTGTAACGACACACCTTCTCCCCTTAGATACGTTCTTCTAACATGATTGATGTTAGGGGGTTTTCCATGTGCCCAACCAACTGGTGTTTCGATTATTGAAGTTTTTTGTTGTAGCTGCAAGGCGTCCCCAAAGAATTGAGTCTGGGTTCGAGTGTGAGTTCCAAGGGGATGCTTAACTGATGATTTCGAAGACACAATTCGGGAGCTTGCGGCAGATCACCACATAGTTTCGGAGGATGTTTCATCGATCTACCGAAGATCTATCAATCAAAGAGTATGGGGTAATCATGGGTAATCAAACGTGGCGGGCTGGAAAATCCCCTTCACTATAACTGTAGTGAACCGATGTGAACCGTTCACCATGATTTTTTCAGATCATACCAGTGATACCCTCTGGTAATTTAACATAACTATGGAACATCACCATTTTTAATGGGAAAATCCACTATAAATGGCCATTTTCAATAGCTATGTTAAATTACCAGTGATTACACAGTTTGGATGGTTCACACATGTTCACATCCTCCGAAAAGGCTGGGCTTATCGCAGGTTGATCGATGGCACAGTGGATGACATGTCCATCCTGGGTGGCCACCGTGGCAGTTATCGCATCGCGGCGGGGCCGTTGCCGGCCGACGCCAACCCCACGGACTGTCAGTACGACACCCGGCGTCCGGTTAAACATGGAAATCGTGGAAGACCTGGAAGAATCCCAACTTTGAAAATGAACATATGGGTATGGGTCAATACCTATAGATACATTACTATAGTGGGATGAACATCCATTTACCAGCTATTTTGGGGTTCACTAGGTACCAGGGTTTTGACCCATAGCCATATATCAACATATTCGATAATCCTCGAACTCAATGATGGCTCATTTTCCATTGCCAGGTTCAATTTGTTGGTATGGGTCAAGCCATTTAGGGTTCGCCTCAAGTTGCGGAACAGCAGAAGTGGGGCTCTCAGTGCCGGCGCTCTCAATGTTTACAAACTAAAAGACCTGACCGCGAAGTGGGATATGACCATCACCCAATTGGCTTCCATTATAAAGGCTTTTCATCTGAGGTACTGACTTCTAGTGTGGCTGGTGTCATGCACACACCAGCTTAAATCTTCATGGTTGTATGGTTCAGGGGCTTACGGTGCTACGGCTACTGCTCCCAAGGAATGGTCGTTGCATCTCAACGCAGCCAATGAACCGGACATGTACCACTTCGTGACCATGCTACGGCAAGCTGCGCGCATGAACATCTACGAGCAGGCGGGTGATGCCATGGGATGGTGATGCCAGTGGTGTCTCAGTCAGAAACACAGAAAATCGCGCTTCTCATTTTCCGCCAGCCTTTTAGTGAGCAGAATTAGTGACCAAAAGTGTTTTTTTTGAGGTGAAGAAACTGAAGGAATTCAAGCAGAAGAGCGTCTATGCACACAACCACCGGCCGTATTTGGATTCCCAGATGTACTCCTCTCAGAGTGGACACTTGGAGGCGCCTCTGGGCCTCGGCCTTTGGGCTCAGGGGCCACCTGGCCTACGTTTACTTGTCTTACATATATAAATTGTATATATTTGTATATCATATGAATCACATAATGCTGTGTTATGGTGCTATGTAATGTAACCTTGTGTCCGTTGTGTTATATATATATATATAGGTAGATAGGTAGGTAGATAGATAGATAGATAGATAGATAGATAAATATTATGACATACATATGTGATCATATGTGGACATATATATATATATATATATGACACCTCACATCTATGCATCTTCCGCGCTCATCCCTTTCTTTCGGGGCCCCCGGCGAATGGCCAGGTGATCTTGGTGGAAGCCAGGCATCTGCGACCTGCGCGGGTGCAACAGGAGCAGGACTTGCAGACCGCCTTGCAGAAGAGCCTCCAGCTGGATCTTCAGGTTGAGGCCGGGCGAAGCGAAACTCTCCGATTTTTCAATGGGGATGGCCCTGGCAAAAAAAAACGGGGATTGGAACGGGGATTGTTCAACATGGCGATTTAGCTGAGGATACATGGAAAAAATGGTGATTTAACTAGGGATATCGAATATTTGGATGTAGAGCCTATCTCATTTTGGGTGCGGTAAACCGCCATAGACCCTCTCATTCAGCATGGCTGGGGGGTTATTATTATTATTACTATTATCGTTAGTATTATTGTTATTATTACAGTAATCATATTTTATCATTATTATGATCGTTTATCACATTACCCCAGAGCAAAGCCAATTCTCTTCAATTTAGGTTTTATCAGAATCCATGCTTTATCATGACATTCTAAGTTCTGGGTTAGACTATTCGAACTTCTCACAAGATGGCACAACGCCTTTGGAAACGTGGGGCTTCAACAGTGAGGCATATGACAAAATATGCACATATATGCACATATGTATAGAAAAAGAGAAAAAGAGAGAGAGAGAGAGAGAGAGACAGAGAAAGAGACACTAGGGCATGTACATGTGCATCGGGTGCATCGGCATCGGCATGTTTATGTTGGAGAAGTCCAGGAACACCATTTCTCACCAGTTTCCCACTTCTTTAGGCCAGTTTCCGTCTCAAGAACATCGACGCCGATGGCAAGGCATGGACGAAGCTTGTGGAAGTATCAGAACCCCCCAAGAGTGGGCTTTAGTGAATGTGACAATTGGAACATCAACAGAAATAGAGATTCAAATCAAACAGGGTAGTTTATCTCTATTTTTTATATATCCACCACACACACATATATTTACACATGTGTACATATACATATATAGATAATAATAGTAATAAAGAATAATAAGAAATAATAATAATACTACTACTGCTACTACTACTAATAAAAAACAATAAACAATAATAATAATTAATAATGATAATGATAATAATGTGTATATACATACATACATACATACATACATACATACATACATACATACATACATACATACACACACATACATACACATACATACACATACATACACATACATACACACATACATACAGACATACAGACACACATACATACATACACACAGACATACAGACATACAGACATACAGACATACAGACATACAGACATACAGACATACAGACATACAGACATACAGACATACAGACATACAGACATACAGACATACAGACATACAGACATACAGACATACAGACATACACACATACACACATACACACATACACACATACACACATACACACATACATACATACATACATACATACATTCATACATTCATACACACATACATTCATACACACATACACACATACACACATACACACATACATACATACATACATACACACACACATACATACATACATACATACATTCATACATTCATACATTCATACATTCATACATACATACATACATACATACACACACACACATATATATATATATACATATGCATACACTGTAGCATTATATGCATATATATATATATATCTATTCATATCCAGATGCGAATGGGTTCCATCTGCCATTTCTACGCCATTTCTGGCTAAGCTGTCTGAGATCCGTCACGTCGAGATACCACGGAGCCAGGTGAAGAGTGAGGCAGTGACATAGAAATCCCCAAGAACATATTAGTAAAGCAACAGTAAACCAGCCCCAATGGTAAACCAGTAAACCACAAATGGTGCTTTACTATGCCGAAACCTAACATTCATTTAATGAAGGCCCCAGGTTGACCTCGACGACTTTTTTTGTTGGGACGAAATTTTATGCCAGGCCAAAGACCTGATCTACAAGGGCTCCAAGATCCAACGCTGCCCCACCTTGGTTGGCAGCAATCCCAACTGGGGAGAACAGGAGCAACTGAAGAACTCGGGCGGATGGGTCTTCAAAAGTCCACTGCTGGAGAAGGCCAGCAGCTTTTGCTGATCCCTCAGGTTGTTGTTGTGGGGCCCTGGGGTTGATGGATCCGATGGCCACCATGGCATCCTTGCGAGGCCACCATGCAGAACTTGTATCTGGAGATTGAGCTCTCCTCACGAAAGTATGAGAAGCTGGGAATGGTCAGGCCAGCAACAAACTGGGGGGACACGAATCTGAGATTCTGCGCCAAGAAAGATTGTGTGGATTTATTGTGATAGCTGTTTTGAGTGAATTGTTTTTTTGGGGCCGGAGATCTCAGCATGTCTCAAAATTGGGCACCCGAAGAGTCGATGCTTTGAATTCCTCATGTTCCTTCTTCAAACTGGGTACCCCCAGTGACCAATCAACAACCAATGAACTTCGGCCTCCACTCGTTTGCCAAAGAGCTTTGTTCACCGACATACGCTGAGTCCCAAACAGCACCAGGATGGCTGTCTTCGGTGCTTCCTTCCAAGATGAATTCCTGGGTGGAGCGCCCACCATCGATATGAGCGATCCCAAAAAGCTCTTCAACAACCTGTGGCTGGCCATAACGGCTGGGGCGCAGGATCAAAAAAGATGGAGACGATTCATTCATATTCATTAATCATGTATTTAGCGCGTTTATATCGTTTTTTGATTTTTCAAGACGCCTGAGGGATGAGAATGCATCGATTTATTTGGATCTATCCATCTACCGATGATCTCAGGGCCGAACCCTCTTGAATCCAACGAGGGGATTGGTGGTTGCTGGATGCTTTTTTGGTGCTCTAAGTGCTGTGATGTGAAGAGTCAGTCCGGTAGACCATGGCAATTTCCATGGCTTTTCCACGCAAAATGGACCGACATTTTCTGTGATTCGAATGTCTTGGGGTCAGCGTTGTGTACATCGGCTACCAGGTGGCTTCCGCTGGCCACAAGCGATGCGGAAGCGAAGCTGACTCCCAAAGCATACGGAGACTGGTCCAGTGATGCTGTGTTGGGCAGATGGGAAGACCATGCCATCCCAACTCAGTTGGGACTTGTGTACTATCCCAACTGACCAGGTGTACCCGACTAAGAAATGCTCATCCTTCAAGGCTCTTGGGTGTCATACCTGCATACCTGCGTATTTCAGGGATGGACATGGTGCGAGAAAGTGTTGTGAGTTCTTTCCTAAGAACTCAACCAACTTGCGTCTTGCTGCGAGGCGCCATTGTCTGTTGGGCTCCAGTTTGGCTCTTTAGACATTCTTTTGGGTTCTGTTTTACCCTCTGGTAAACGTTAACAAAAAATATATGGAAAATCACCATGCTATTAATGGGTGAACCGGTAAACCCACTATTTCTATGGCCATTGTCAATCGCTTTTTGTATGTTTACCAGAGGGTAAACCTCCATTTTCCCATGGTTTTCCTATGGTTTACCAGGCCGTGACCGGGCGTGGTCCCCCAGGAGAGTTGCACATCTTGACCGTGTGGAAGCCTTCGGTGGAGACCGTGGCGCTCCGGCGCTTGCCCAAAACGGTCCGTGGCTGGCAGAACTATGAGCTGAAACAGGCTGGCGAAGCGGCAGCTATTTATAGTTGAAAATGGTGGGTTAATGGTGGTTTAATGGTGGGAAAATGGTGATTTTATGGTGATTTAATGGTGATTAATGGTGATTAGAGAGGTGATTAGAGAGGTGATTAATGGTGATTAATGGTGATTAATGGTGATTAATGGTGATTAATGGTGAGCCATAGTTGATCCGTTTCTGCTAGTTGATCCGTTTCGACTAGTTGAGTGGCTTGACCCAGTGAGTTGTGTACCATGGGGTTCTCAGATGTTCTCAGTGCTTGCAGGAGCTGATTCTCCTGGGTCGTGATTCCATGATGTCACAACTGATTCTTCAATGGTGGCAGCAACTCACCATTGTGCAGACCCAACATATCAAAAGTATTCAAAAATCATCTTCGAAATCTGCAGATGATCAACTGACATGACATTTTATGACATGACCAGCTGAGCCAAGTTACACCCTGCAACTTGGATGGTTTCTACCCACATTTGCGGTGGAAATCTGTCTCCTGGCGTGGGTTTTCCCAACGAAACCCGCCGGAAACTTCCCCATTTCCTTCGAGGAGATTCCCAGAAAAACCGAGCTCGGAAAATCGGGGGATTTTCCAGCTTGCCACGGTGATGACCAGAGGGTATAAAGCAATATTCCATATCAGATCTCATTAAATCCAGTTAAATTCCATGAAATCCAGTTAAATTCCATGAAATCCAGTTAAATTCCATTAAATCCAGTTAAATTCAATTTAAAATCCAGTTAAATTCAATTTTAAATCCAGTTAAATTCCATGAAATCCCCATTGTGAATGGTGATTTTCCAGATGGCCATTTTGTCAGCGTCACAGGCGATGAAGGGTGGGACGGCGATGCACGATCCCGTCTACGACTTGCAGACCTTCAAGAGAGGCGCCCGCGGATCTGGTGAATAGTGGTTGTGGTTGTGGTTGTTGTGGTTGTTGTGGTTGTTGTGGTTGTTGTGGTTGTTGTTGTGGTTGTGGTTGTGGTTGTGGTTGTTGTTGTTGTTGTTGTTGTTGTAGCAGCTGTTCGTCATCAGCACATGATGGAAGTGGGGGGCTGAAAGACCACCATTCTATCATGAGATGATGAGCGATTTCCATGAAGGTCAAGGTGTTCGTGGCCCTAGTGGTGACCGTCACAGTGTGCGTGCGCGAAATACGCGTTCAGTTGTGGCCTTGAAACAAAGGACACCTTGAACATGCACAAAGGAAAGAGATCGAGTTTACAAGTGAAACGTCACCACTTTCATCAGATGGGATCGTTTCAAAATTTGGACCCCCCAGAATCTCACAGTTTACTATATTTTATTATATACCCTCTGGCCCTCTGGTTATTTAACATAGCCATGGTATAGATGGCCCATTGATAGATGGTTTACCTATTAAAAATGGTGGATCTTTCCATGGCTATGTAACTTAAATAATCAGATGGGAAAAATATTTTCCCTGATTTTTTTAAATGACCTTGGCCATCTTGGCCAGGTTATGATCCCAACCTCTATGAGTACAAGAATGACATGCCTGAAGTGATTACAGACGCCAAGCTTGGACATTTGCAGAAGATGTTGGAGAGCATTCCTTACCTCGACTGCTGCGAGAGGCAACAACGACACTTGGAAGATCTTGGAAGACTTGGACCATTTTGTGCTGTGAAAAGTAGTGGATTAATCCATCTACTGCTAGTAATCACCAAAAAAAGAACATGATAGAAAACCAGGTCGATTTTTCACTCTGTTATTTTTTGAGATTTCTTTTTTTCTATGACTTTTTGGGGGTTTCTACCTTCAAAAATGTTACACTAAAACGGTAAAACACGCTGGTTATCCCCAGCAAAAAATCCACCCGAGGAGTCGCTTGGCGCGACTTCCGTTTAGATTTGGAGAGTCGCTCCTCCGTGGATACCGAAAACCGGCCGCAGCGCGCCAATCTCAGCCGCCTGCGCAATGCCTGGGTCAGAGCCGAAACGCCCAACACGCGGATGATGTGGGAGACACTTTGGCGAAACACGCTGGCAGTTTTTTTTTTTGGTTACGTATTATATATATATATATATATCTATGATTATATGTGCATATATATATTTGTCTCTCTCTCTCTCTATCTATATATATATATATGTATTTATGCAAATATGTAAAATTGTATATCAATAAGTATAAATATAAATGCAAGCCTAAATATAAATACACATATAGATATAAATATGTCTGTGACTGAACTCTCGGAGAGGGCGATGGAAGACAAACATATCTGGGGGAGTTCATCTCCATGTCGTTGCCGTTGCCGTTGCGGTTGCGGTTGTTGCCGTTGTTGCCGTTCTCAGTCACCGCATAGCTACATCATTACATTGGTGCATCACCGTTTTCCGCGATCAGATTCTGAGTGCGATCTAACGGTTATCTACATGCGATGAATATATATATATATATGTCTGCTCCAAATAATCCCATTCCCCTAAACCATCATTTCGGAGATGATATTTTGGGCCTTTCCAGATTGGTAATCCCCTACTCAACCGTGGTTTCTGGGTGTTTCATAGGGGGATAGTTACTGATAGGGAGGGAGTGTCCACCTCGATGCTGGGAATGGTGAGTCTAACGTCTATCACCTTGGGAAGCATTAAAGTAAGGACATGAGTGAACATGGTCTATCACCTAAATAGCTATTGAAACTGGTGATTTAGTTCGTGGATTTACCGATTGATACCATGGTGATTTTCCATAGTTTTTTGTTAACGTTTACCAGGCCGGGTAAACTCACCATTAATCCACTGTTTGGGATGTCTTTTTTTCCTGAATGAACGCGGGAAGGAATCCCATTGCCTTGGCTGACCAAAACGAATCTCTCAAGCAACCATGCTGAATTTTGCAATCTCGATGGTTGTCAACAGTAGCCGAGTAGCCCAAGTTGCCACCTTGATGGGGTAGTTATCAACATTTTCCATACACAACAACATATCCAGATCTGGCTTCCTTCAATTAAATAGGACATTTGTCAATACAACATGGCCATTCAAAAACGAATCTAACCGTTCGACTGACATGTGAGTGTATCCCATCTTTTGGACCAGCTTGGTGGCTCACACCAGTTAGTAGCAGTTAGCACATGGGTTAATTCAATTTAATTCACCTCAGTTAATTCAGTAGATTCAGTAAAATTCCAGGTGTTTTTCTGGGTTTTATCCTCCAGTTTTTACTAACACTGCTATGGAAAATCACCATGTTTTAAAAACGGCACTCCCCGGAGAAGGCGATGCAGATAGATATAGGTAAATCATGGTGCATTTAATGCACCATACCAGAACCATGAAGCATCTACACTATCTACATCTATAGAAAATGGCCATTTATAGTGGATTTACCCATTAAAAATGGTGATTTTCCATAGCTACTGTAACTGTTAGTTTACCAGAGGGTACACTATCTACATCTTGATGGATTTTCCTATATTTTCCCATTGTAAAGGCTCCATAGCCAGCAGAGATTTCCCAAGGCTCGACGAGCTGATGCGCCGTGGAGTACCCGCACAGCAGCGTGCGGAGATCTGGTTCGAGATCAGTGGGGCGCAGGAGCTGCAGCAACGCTACCAGGAGATGTACGTCACTCGGATGGCCGAGATGTACGGCAATTTGCGGTGAAGAACATTGGGATTCATGCAAAATTCATGGGAGAATATAGTGGCATAGTGGTTGACCTCACATGAATTTTATGGGATGATCCGTGGATCTGGATGAGTTGTGACCAAAAACATCGCCGAAGCCTGAAAAATGGTGATGAGGGGAATCCGTGCCGCAAGTTTCAGTTGGACAAATCGATGCAACCCCCAGTTTTTTTGGCTTTTTACTTTAAGTTTTTTTATTTTTTCTATGGACATGAAAGGACTTGGCAATGGAAGATGTTTTTGAATTCAACATCAAAAATTGACAACAATGTGGTTTGCTTTTTTTTTTGCCCGTTGAAACAACTTCCATCCCAGGCTGAGACCAAAGACCCGGAGGAACTCTTCCGCAGGCGGGGTACCCTGTGCGGGTGCTTTTGGTGCTAGAAATGTTGATGTACTACTAAAATAACTACAATCAGTCATGTTAGAAACTGGTTGGTGGATGTTGGCGGTTTTCAGCATGTTTGAAAGCGACATCCACATCTCAACACACACACATACACAAATAGACTTTTTTCTTTTTTAAACACATTGTACGTATATGTATATATATATATATATATGTATATACACTGGAATATGCATACAAGCATATATGCACACACACACACATATATATATATATGTATATGTATATATATATGTATATACACTGGAATATGCATACAAGCATATATGCACACACACACATATATATGTATATGTATATATATATGTATATACACTGGAATATGCATACAAGCATATGCACACACACACATATATGTATGTATATATATATGTATATACACTGGAATATGCATACAAGCATATATGCACACACACACATATATATGTATATGTATATATATATGTATATACACTGGAATATGCATACAAGCATATATGCACACACACACACACACATATATATATATATGTATGTATATATGTATATATATATATATATGCATATATATATGTATATATATATGTACATATATGTATATGTATGTATACGTCTATATATATATGTACATATATGCATATATATGTATATATATATAATGTATATATGTTTTCTTATTTTTGCCTACCTGAGATTATATGATCCCATTTGTTAGTATTATGTATTTTTCGGGCAGTAGCTATATTGTGTGCCAATGGATTGTTTCAACAGAACATCTACACCGGAAGCCTTGTTTTTTTTCACCGCAGATGCACATAGTTGTTCCTGCAGTTTTTTCCACAAAAAGACGACTTCTCAGGTTTCCAACATTTCTACCTAAAACTATAACCAAAGCTCATTTCATTGTTTAAAAATGAGCTATGACCATCTTTCATTTCCATATTTAATGCAGGTTGCGGCCGATTGCTTGACGGGATCATTTACCCGAAAAAATGCCAGATTTTCCCAAAGATTTTGTACGGTGAGTGGTTCATTTCCCCTTAAGATTTCCCATACTTTCCCATGGATGTTCCGAAATTTCCAGGATTTTCCCATGGATGGCACCCCATGACCTTGAGCCCCAGGTTGGTGGAAGATGGCCGGCCCTACCGCAACGATGCCATGTGGCAGTTGCACGAAGACTTGGTGGCCGCTGCTGCCTGGGAAAGGTGCAAGTTCTCAGTGGAATTTTGGGTGGGGGGACGTTCAGCCATGAAAATTAGGGGATGAACCACTAAAAATAGTGGTTAATGGTGATTCATGGTGATTCATGGTGGTTAATGGTGGTTAATAGTGGTGACAAATGGAAATACATGATAATAGTGGTGAATGGTGAATTTTGAAGGATGAAGGGATGAACTCTACTAAAAATAGTGGTGACTAGTGGTGATAGCAACTCTTTTCTGGCAATGAATGGCCTGGATTGATGGTGTTTAAAAGGGATTAAGTGGTATAAACAACAATGATTTTAGCATGAAGAATGGGGGATTACTGTAAGCAATGGAGAATGGCATATGGATTAGTAAACTTGGTTGTTT